CAGGAGGTACATTTATCCATAGAAGTACCTCTTGATTTTAAAATCAATTTTTCCCATTGTCAATTTACTGCCAGTCTTCAATAAAAATCCTTGTTACTGAATTCCTTCAAACACACACACAACCACATATTTGCTAAAGAAAAAAACGAAAAGAGAAAATCCGAGCACAAAAAAAGAAACTCGAACATAATCCACAAATTACACTTCCTTTCGAAGCAAAAATTTAACTTAATGACAAATTTCCGAAGGACCCAACCATTATCCCATACATCAACATCCTGCCATAGATGTTGCTGCTGCAACAATTTTGAATAGCCTGAAAACCTTTGCCAATAAGGAATTAAGTCAACAAGCTAAATGGTTGGTTGGTTTGCTTTCAACTCATACTCCAGCAGTCGTTATGTCGTCGTCGACGTCGTTACAAATCTCTAATAACCACAATAACGATTATAAGATTATACAAATCAACTAATGTTTGTTCCATGAATAGCCTCCACCACCCACCACCCCAAAAGCCAATACCGAAAAAAGTCTTTAAGGATCTATTAAAGCCATAAGAGACCCTTGAAAATTTCAGTGTCGTCTCATTGTTGTCGTCATGTTGAACAAAAGCGTTACGGATGAACTGATGGACGGACGGACGAATGAATGAATGTACGTACGTACGAGCGAACGCCAATCAAGTCATGTATGTCGCTTGTAATGCATTACTCCATTTTTACCTATGCATGTGAAGTGAATAAATGAGTGACTATACACTTCGAGTTGGATATAACCATGTGTGAATTCTTACTACACAGATGCTGCTGATATGCCCCATCCTAAGTTTGGCAAGTAGTCATTGGATAGAGTTGGTGCTGGTGAGTGTGTGTGTGTGATATAAAAATCCACTGCCAGTAGAATGACAATGGCAACATATTGAACAATGTGCCCGAACAACCTTTTGGAAATTTTGTTCTCCACATTTGGTTTCCATTGAAGATTGAGGGGGCTTCGAGAAGGTTTGGATTCTTTGTCGAAGTGTGGATTGGTATGATATTTTGGGAAATAAGGGGTATTATATTCATAGAAGACTTCTTAATGATAGAAAAGGTTAAAAGATATGAAACGCTTTATAGTGTCTCCTAAGTAGAGAATGATCCATGAGTTACTCTATAAATAGAAGGTGTATCATGAGGTATTATAAAAGCAGAAGAGGTCTTAAGGTGAAGAGCAATGATTTACGGAAGGAATTTCTACCGGCCTTAAAAGAGACATCTTAATTTGTAGATGGGTCCGTTGTTGGCATACGAAAATTGGAATTGGAAAATTAAAAAGGGGACGTTGCATTCCCCTATTGGCAAAATACAACCTAAGGAATATCATAAAATTCTTATTGAATATGGCAACAGACAAGATTTGATCAATAATCTCGGACAAATGTATCTTCAGTGGGCTCTCAACTTATACAAGTATGCCTTAGGCAGTAAAAAAGTCGGCCGCGCCGAAATTTGTATCACGTGTTGTCCATTCAACATTTCTTATGTGATAGTATCGAATACCGAAAAAGGGTGGAACTTCTATATGGAAATTATATCAAAACTTGGACCTACATAGAAAACTTTGTTTTACCCTCAAATGGGGGGAATCATACAAAAAACTACAAAATACTGAACATGTGGGGCTATCCTTATATGGAGTCTATTTCAACACATGGACTTAACATATATAAGTCTGTTAATGTTTATTTTTTGGATAACATAGGTCCAGACCTGTTTATGGAGGACACATATCAAAAGAAAATTCTAAACAATTAAAATTTTTGGCCAAGTTATGCTCCTTTCAAGGTAGAGAAGAGAGCAAAAATGTATACAGTACCAATATGTGTGTACAGTCCAAATTATTTAAATCGCTTCGTATACGAATTGTACCCTCAAAATTATTTATAATTCTTATAAAAATTAAAACAGAGAATAATTTAAAATGATTTTAACGTCGATATTGCATTTGGTTTCCTTGAGATTGGACTATTATTTTTCAGAAATAGTGTACTGCATATCCCGAATGCAAGGCTGTAGGGTCTTCAAATTTTGTTCATATCCTATTTAGGATAGCTGCATTAAATCTATGCACAGAAAGTCGTTCTATGATCATCGGGGCTCAAAGGGTTAAGCTCGGCTAATGGACAAAAGGATACTTTTACCTACCTCTCAAGGGCATTCCTTAGCCAAAAGACTTATTGAGAATATTATATTTCCTGAGGGTCCTCTACATGGAATCTCTTTTTAGGACCTTTCATATATGTAGGAATTTTGAGAAACTTCTGTCTATAGAGGATATATTGATGAATTTTAAGGATCTACACAAAACTTCTGTGGATGGTATTATACACAAGAAGACCTTGAGGGACTTATGTACTCAAAAAGTTGCTAGATGATACATACAAAGCTTCTTAAAAATATTCTATGATTCTTCTATTATATAAAACCAGTGAGCGGAGCAGTATAGTCGGACGGGGCCGACCATACGATACCCTACACAACTACCACGGAACTATAACTTTCTGCGGATTTTTATTCCGACCCTGGGCAATATTTCGTTATAGTTGCACCCTGTTGCCCGATTAGAAATAAACAGCACCCCTTCCTTACACTGACATATATCCCAAATTTTACTAATATTCAGTACAGCCCTTCTAATTACTTGTCCAGATTGCCTTCACTGTGGTTTGTGTTCGACATTCAATTGTGGCGTATAGATCGACTCGAAAAAAAACACAATTAACACAAAATTAAGTTTTTGGTCCAACTCATCCCAAAATTATTATCTGATCATCACCGAAAATTATAACCGTTGTCCCTGGCTATTCCTGGATCCTCATGGAAAATTTAAAAGCGATCAGCGCGCTATATTTCCGCCCTCTAGTGTGGTAATGTGTTACTAAATAATATATGAATGCATAAGAACATGTAAATATGTAAGTGTAACTCCCACATACGAGCACATACGACAATATAATTGGTATCAATTTAAAGGTCAACCACTCCTCTTGGATATACTATCAATTTATCGGGTCTATGTCCTTCAGGAGTAAATATATACGTTCTAGGATAAAAATTTTCATTCATTTCATTTTTCATACAAAAGTAAGGGTCCATTTGACCCGATAAATATTGACCGATCTTTATCAAAACTGGCATGCTTATTCTTTGGCCCGATCCCCTTCTCCATGTAAAAATTCGCGATGTTTGGGTCATAACTGCGGCCTCTGGAGCGACCAGAAAATCCGACAAAAAAAGTATTTGATACATTTCATCCCCTAAATATTATCCGAACTTTACCAAAAACAATAGCGGTCTTCATTGGCCATTATGCATCCTACATGCGAAATTTCGTGAAGATTGGTCCATAACTGTGGCCTGTATATATTTCGCGGCGTTACAAACTCTTGGGGCTGCACAAAGCTATAATACCCAGACAACATAGTTGTGTAGGGTATAAATACAAGTCCTATTGAGGATATGTCATCGAAGAATTTTTGAGGTTCTTACATGTGCGGAAGACCTTGAATCTTTAAAGAATGCTGTATGAGTAGAAAACTCTATTAAGGTCTTATAAATATGTAACACCTTTTAAGAATTTTATACGCCTAAAAATGTTTGTGTGGATCATCTTATACACCTAATACCTTTTCAGGATTCTTGAGACCTCTTGAAGTTCTCTTGTTATGGGAGACATATTGAGGTTGAGCTCTTCTATGAATTCAAGAGGAAGACATCTTGAGCACATAGAAGACCTTAAAGGAATGATCTACACATAAAAGACCTCATGATGGTATTGTGTACATTTAACGTTTTGAGATTATTCAATGCACATAATAACTCTTAAATGTTATGTTTTAAATACCGAACACCTCTCAATGATCCCCTATGGATAGGAGACTTTTTGATCATCATTTATACCTAAAAACAAATATAAAATTAACGTTTACTAATTATGTAATTTTCCTTGATGCTTCTATACCTAGAATATGTCTAGAGTATATTCCCGACATGGATATACCTTTAAGGGTTCCCCATATCCCTCGACGACTTCCTTGTATCCACAGAATACCATTCAAGGATCCTCTATACTTAGAAAATCTCCCCTCAGTACCTATAAAATCTCAAAGTTAACATCTTTTAGACAATATATTATAAATCGTAGATAGCTTGTGGGTCATCTACACATAATGAAACCTTTTGAATGACATCTAAAATAATTATCCATACTTTCACATAGTCCTCTTAGAAGTTTTCTATTTACAAAATATTTCTTAAAGCGTATTCTATAAATCTTCTTCTTCTGTGTCTTTATTTATCATACGACCCTCGTCCAAAAAGGAAATTATTATATTTTTACTTTAGTATTTTTTTTTGGTCCTATCGATTGGTACAATGAACATATGAAGTGTACGACAAGTATGTGACGATTTTCCATAATGAATAATTGAAAACAATAGTTGAACACAGAAACATACTCGCACACTCACACATACATGTCTTGAATAAAATCATCACCAAAAGTCCTTAACAACAAAACATCAACGACAAGACTTCAAATTGTAACTGAAGTGGATAGTAAAGCTGTTCAATATGAAGATGAGTGTGGTACACAGTACGAAGAGTAACAGCTTTGAGGTTAGAGGTAAATGCTGTGCTGTGTGGCAGAAGTGTCTCTTTAGACATTCCAACGTTGAAATCGCATGCAACATGTTTTTGCTGTGAGTATACAACAATAAAAAGGACATATAGTTAAAAATGTGCAAGTGTACGCGAGTGTGTGTGTGAGGATTAATTCCCATATGAGTTAACTTTAAAAATTATTTCCTTGTTCCATGAGAAAAATTTATGTGTGAGTCTGTGTGTTTCTCTTTCTCTGAATCAATGAAGAGTAAATCGTTATAAATGAGTATCGAATGGAGTATGGCTGAATGTACGCTTAATATCCTTCCGCCAGAACTTTTGTTTAATTGTACTTACGACAGAAGTGTGGTGTACGCCATCTAATTTGTACGCCCTTTTGCGAACAGGCATGAGCATAGGCTGCCACAGCCGTACAAAGACATTCACAGTCGCCACCTTGATCACAGGCACAGGTATCGAATATGCAACGTTTCAAGTATTTTTCAACAGGCACTTTAGAATGGCAGTCCTATAGTAGCAGCAGCAACAACGACAACGGCGGCATATATCATTCAGCAGGCGAGCAAACCAGTTCACATATATGATCCAAAGGAGCACAATTGCAGAGTGCAGCAGCAGAAAATGGTGGTCACAAAAATTGGCATCAGCAAAGATGTTTCACATATGTATAGGTTGGTGTTGGTTGTGCCAGTCAGCAAGATGAGTGGTGGTAAAAGAAGATGATGAAAGAAAAAGAAGAAAACAAAGAATTTTAATTACATTACATTCCAAATTCTACACCCACCTTGACAATGAATGAATTTGAATTGTCAAGACGGGTATTTTTAAAGCTTCTGCAGATTATGAAGGTGGTAGGGAATATAACAATGAATTTTTAATATTCGTTAATGCCAACAAGGACAGATGTTAGAAAGGAAGTCTATTGTGTTCCATAGTTATTTGGAGTGTAATAAAAATTAACTTTATTGCTTAATTGTATAAAAATCATTCAGGTTGGGAGGACGATAGTCAACACGATTTGTATTGGCAATATGTCTAACAATATAATCGATATTGATATGTGTGTCCGACCAACTGTTTGGTCACTACATTTTTTTGAGGTTCAACTGTATGTGGAATACCTATTGAAGATTCTTGTGAAATCCTGTATACATGAAAGACTTCTTGAAAATGTTCTATATACAGAATTACTCTAAATTGTCTTCACTACAAAGATGGCCTCTTAAGGATCTTCTATAAACAGAAGACCTATTAAGGATATACTTTTATACATAGAAGAACTCTTTTAGGCCTTGCAAGCATATATTGAGTACATAGACGGACTCTTGAGTGTGCTCTATACCTCTAGGAATCTTCTATGCACGGTAGACCTATTGTGGATATACTTTTAAACATAGAAGACCTTTTTTAGACCTTCTAAGCAAGTATTAAGTACATAAGCGACCTCTTGAGGGTTATCTATACCAGGGTCGCGCAGAGAGGCGTTTTTACACCCTTTTTCACACAAATTAATCTTAAAACCAGTAAGGAAAGTAGTAAAGTCGGACGGGACCGACTATATGATACAATTTTACTCACATCATTCTATAATGAATTCAGTACGATACGCCGAATTTCGTGCAAATCTAAGGATATATAAGGACTTGAGTACACCATTTATATTGAATGGGTCGAACATATTTCTGGGACCTATGTCTAAATCTGAACCGATTTTCAAGAAATTTTACACACATCATTCTAGACCTAATTCATTACGCTATGCCAAATTTCATGGAAATTGAATGAAATATAGGGGCTTTGGTGAACCATTTACCTAAAATCGGCCGAAACTATATATGGGAGCTACATCTAAATCTGAACTGATTTTCGCGAAACTTACACATCATTCAAGACTTAGTTCAGTACGCTATGCCAAATTTCGTGCAAATCGAATGATTTTCAGGGACTTTGATGCACCATTTACCTAAAATCGGGCGAAACTATATATGGAAGCTTTATCTAAATCTGACCCGATTTTTCTCAATTTCAATAGGATTCGTTCTTGGGCCGAATAAGTGACCTATGCCAAATTTCATCCAATTCGGACCATAAATGCGACCTGTACACTGTTTACAATTTAACATGGACAGACGGACGGAAGGACATGCATAAATCGACTCAGAAAGTGATTCTATGTATATTCTCAAAAGGAATCTTTTGCCTGTTACAAACATATGCACAAAGACATAATACCCTGTGCCACAGTGTGGTGACGGTTCAGATTTAGATATAGCTTCCATATATATTTTCGTCCGATTTTAGGTAAATAGTGCACCAAAGTCCCTATATATCCTTCGATTTGCACAAAATTTGGCATAGCGTATTGAATTAAGTCTAGAACGATGTGTGTTCAAATTCGTGAAAATCGGTTCAGATTTAGATATAGCTCCCATATATATTTTCGTCCGATTTTAGGTAAATGGTGCAACAGAGACCCTATATATCCTTCGATAACTGAATTAAGTCTAGAAAGATGAATTTTAAATTTCGTGAAACTCTGTTCAGATTTAGATATAGCTACCATATATATTTTCGTCCGATTTTATGTAAATGGTGCACCAAAGTCCCTGTATATCCTTCGATTTGCACGAAATTTGGATTTATAAGTTAATGAAGAACTCAAAATATGGCCGAATGCAAAAACATACTGAAATAAGTGTATCCTAACATGTGACAAGATTTGATGAAATCGGTTTAGATTTCGATATTTTGCTTTAAATTTATTTACATAATTTTGTCCCATTGTAAGAATCAACTCTATATCTGACCAAAATTTAGTATAGGTTGCAGAATGACATGTTTAATTTCATGTTAATAGTCCTTCAAAAATGCGACGTCTGTTAGGATTCCATCTGTTGAATATTCCCAAAGTGGTGAAGGGTATCATATAGTCGGCCCGTCCGACTTTACTACTCTCCTTACTGGTTTGGGTTGTAATTGGGTGTTCAATTTCTTCTACAACTGTAAACCACTAAACGGTGTTTTGAGGATTTCAGACTTCTTTTTCAATTCACACACGTAATTTTCCGTATTTTCACGTAGTTTTCCGTATTTGTTCAACCTGAGTGTCAGTATTTTTTCCTGGAAGTCACGATTGAATTTAAGTATTTCGATTGCCACCTCATAGTGAAGTTCGGTCCGACCGGACTTAACGACTTTTTTACTTGTTATATGTAAAACTGAATATTTCAAAATCTATCACAACATTGAAGAAGGCAACTTAAATTGACTGATATATACGCAGAATGTGATTTAAGATGACTTATATACCTCGAAAGCTCTCAATCTATAATAAAAATTAATCATATAGCTTACAAAAGTGCGAAAAGTCGTTTAAGAGACATATAGCATATACCTTAAGTAGTATTATAAAGGTTTATTGCGCTTCAATAAATCTTCAACCGACAGAAGGTGTATTAAATGGTTTTCAATACTTTCTACTATATCTGGAAAAATGGTCTTTAAGGCGACCTAGTGACAATTCAAGGCACCCTCCATTGTTCTTATATCCATTTTCCATTCACTTCCAATTTCATTAAATTTCACTTACCTTAAAATGATCCGATTTCAAGATACCACATTTCAATTGAGCCCACGTCTCACGCTGGGGATGTTGTTTACAGGCATCAATGGGCGTGGTGGGCATAGTACAATACTGTTGCACCTTCCATGAATGACCAAAAGTCAAAGGACTTGTTTCCAGTGCTTGTGACGGTGTTTGCATATCATCCATGGCATTGTCATTGTAATTGCCACACAGTCCGCTAACTTTGTTCTTCCATTCGTTGCCCAATTTAACATAGACACGGGTACCTTCATCCCATTTAATTTGTAAATGCAAAGGTAAAGGATATGATAAATGAGTCAAGGGTTACATAACAT